ACCCGGGTTACCGAGTGAAGCCACCTTGCAATCTTCTCGGGACCAAAGCAGACCTATTGTGACCTAATCAGCCCCACTCATGGCCCCCAGCTCCACTGGCCCGGGTAGAAGGAAGCCAGTGCAGTCTTCACAGGGACAAATGGCCAGGTGGCTTCTGTGACACACTGGGCGGGTTCGACCCCCTATCTCGAATCTCCTGGGGAAGGGCGCTAACAGCCGTGAGAGGAGCTGGCACACACCACTGTGTGCATGTTAACACAGAGACAGGGGGGAGGTGGGGGGAGGGTGGGGGTGGAGGCTGCGCTAACACAGTGACCCCGGGAGGCCAGGCTGGCTCCGCGTGGCAAGGAACCAGAAGTCACCACCTTTATACGAACCTCCCACCAAATAAACCACTGGCTCCCACGTGGGCATGCGGGGTGGGGGGCTTACTTGATCAGACCGTCTTCCACCAACACATCCGCGTGAAAGGATTGGTCGTCGTTGACGATCTTCCCGCCCCTGATCAGGAGCCCGTCGCTCTACGGACACAACACAAGGGACTGCTTCTGCAGGCCTTACTCCTCGGTGTCGAATTGTCCCGCAAGGGGACACGCACAGCGTGTCAGCCAGTGTCGTGGGCTCGACGGCAACACTGCCCCTTCACAGAGCTCCTGAGATGGCCAGTCTTTCTGAGGGCTGGCAGCACAATAAAAGCCACCCATGCTGACCCTCAAGAGCACAGCTGCCGGCACCGCCCTCCACTGTCCAGGCAGGCTGGCCACCACCCCGCCCCAGGCCCGCCCCCAGGATAACAGGGTTTTCCTTTGGTAAGAACAAAGTGGGTGGGGTGGGGGTGGGGGTGGCCACGCACTGCGTGGATTGTCTTGGCAGCTGCCCTCTGGTGTTGGGAGATAGGCACAAAGGCCCCTCCAGAGGCCCCCACCTCCCAGTTCCTTGTGCTCACTCCCGTGGCTGTGGACCCGGCCCCCAGGGACACAAACGTAGACTGTGGTGAAGGCGAGGAGCACAGAGAGGTGACAGGGGGCAAGGCAGGATTGTCCAGCTGGGGATGAGACAAGAAGGGCCTGAGGCAGCAACCCTGGAGCATGGGACCTGCGCTAGGTCACACAGCAGGCTGTGCAAAGGCCCTGGGGTTGAGGAGGGTGGAGCTCAGAGGCTGGGGGCTGAGCCTTGAGGAGAGGCCCTGGCAGAGAGGGAACAGGCAGGGCTGGGGTCCTGGGAAGGGGTCCTGGAGGTGGGCTTGGGAGTCTTTGGCGGCATTCAGCAGTGGTCTGGTTGTGTCCAAGTGAGGGCCCAAGTTGGCTGCTGCGTAGAAGGTGAGCTGTGTAGTAGCGGTGGGGCCCTCATCCAGGGGGTTTCTGGGGTTGAACAGGTGAGGGCTTGTGGGCCAGCAGTGGGTGAGAGGCAGGGCAGCATACCGGCCAGGCCCTACGGACTGATCAGGGCAGCCTGGTCCCTGCCCAGCTTATTTCTGAGTCCGAATGCCTTTTCCACTACTCTGACTCGGTGCCAAGTAGCCGAGGATCTGTGCATTGAACTGAAACGGCCAGCCAGTGTCCACTGGAGGGGTTGCGTGGGGGGTAGCATTGGGCTTGGCTGAAGGCCAGCTCTCCTCTGGTCCTCACACTGCCCGGTCTGGGGAGATTTCACACTTTAAATGGGCCGGGAACACTCTCCATGGAGTGTTTCATCATATGTGCACAGTGCATGTCGCCGGAGTGAGCTCCAGTGTCGTCAGTGAAGCTCGGTGGACACGGTCACTCTGTTAGGTTCCAGCTGGGTCCGGAGAGACCATGACCTGAAAACAGAGCTCTGTGGCCCCCAGCCCTGCTGTCGGCAGCTACTGGGCCAGCCCTCTCCACCTGGTCCCCTGATCCCAGGCCAGCTCTGGCCTGGCCCCTGCCAGCGTTTATACAGCCCCTCTCCTGCCTGTCTCTTCTTGGGCAGGATGAGATTTTCCAGCTGGGGTCCGCCTGTCACCCCATTTCCCCAACTGCTTTCAGCTCCTGGACTTAAACACAGGAAACCTTTGTGAGTGTGTGTGTGTGTGTGTGTTTGTGTGTGTGTGTGCATATGCGGTGTGTGTGGGTGTGCATGTGGCACGTGTGAGTGTGTGTATCTGGGGAAGGGGGCGTGTACATTAAGGTAAGTCTTAACACAGGAGCCCCTGCCTCCCCCATTCATCAGTATCTTTCTGACCCAGCTTTGGAAGAGGTGCTCCCTAGCCCCTGCACCCTGCACCCTACCAGGGTCCAAGCAAGGGTCTGATCCAGTGAGGAGAAGCGAGTCAGTCTGTGCGGGGT